ACCTAGAAAACTATGTTGTGTTATAGAACTTGGTATAATGTACTACACGATGATGTCCACCTCTTCATAGGTTGGTGAAATTCCCTCTAGGCTTATTGTGTGCCCGAGAAATTCTCGAATTCGAACACTGAAAACAAACTTTGACGTATGTTCATTCCATTTTCGTCCAGCCGTTTTAACACTGCTCTTACATGTTGTTCATGTGATTTTAAATCCAGACTTACTGTAGTCACGTCGTCTATATACCTATGTGCGAAAAACACCCAGTACATTGTCCATAAATGTTTGTGCAACCTTTCTTAGACGGAATCGCTTGAGTGCAAACTCGAACAGTCCAAAAGGTATAGTAATAAATGTCTTTGGAATATCTTCCTCAGTTACTGTGATATTATGATATGCACTGAACAAGCGAAATTTAGTAAATATGAGGTATCTGGTACCTGACTAGTACAGTTGACAGTTGGGGGCCTTGTAATCCCCACACAGTCGCCAATCACCTATAGTTTTCTTTGGAACCATATGCAAAGGGTATACACATTAACTATCAGACGGACGGGTAATACCCAGCTGTAGAGTGTAGTCAAATTTGGCTCTGGCGATTTTAAGATTATTTGGTGCTGTTCTCCTGAGTATGCCTTCAGTTTAGATCGTATGACTTACACTTAATTTACTTCGGTAACGTCGAGAGTTAGGTTTAGTTGGGTTTGGAAACTTTGCGCGTCTATCACGGAATTTCGCAGTTGCTACTGGCAGAATTTGTATCGAATTCAGAGAAGTGGCGTAACTTTATTTTTTTGTATGACTTGACGTTTTTTCATTTTAGAATGTCGATTTTAATGTGTTGACTAGAACATTATACTTCTCTACTAAGCCGATTCGCAGGATTACCAGATTTTAATTGGCTACTGTAAACAACCAGGTGGATCTCCTCCAAAACCCCAAGACTAGCGTCAGTTTTCTGCCCAAACGTCGCGGTTTTAGTTTTGTTGGCGACCCGATGTGTAACCGAGGACGTTCCTCAACCCAGCTTAGTTTCGTTCTGGGGAACAATACTACGAGCAGCATTAGTATCCATCAAAAGGTTTAGGCCCAAATTACTGTCTCTAACATAAATTAAGTGACTGTTAAGCACTCCTCCTCAGTCGTCGCGATCTGGGAAGCGATCGTTCGTTTCCTCAATTCTTGGAAGTCTATTTAGGTCACGCATATGGTTGGCTGAGCTTTGTTGATGAGATAAAAATTTCCACTGATGCCAACAGTACTGCACATATTATCTGGGAGTCTGTGACTTGAATCTCGTTTGTTGTAGTGAACTGTTTCCGTTTCCATTACCCACTTGCATTTTGGTGACAGCCTTTTTGAAGCGCTTACAACTCAATGTGGGTTCTGCTATGACTGGTTCTTTTGACGATCCTCTCTTTTGTGTATGATGTATAATAACTAATCCAGTTAGGGGAGAATTTGTATCCATTCTTTTTCTAAGACTGCTTCATTCACTGTGTTAACTCCCACTAATTCTTGGAGATAATGCAAAGTCTGTGATGGCGAACTGTCACCTGATGTTTCACCTTAGGAAAGAACTTGAACTCCTTGGCTATCTGATAAAAATAGATGGTTCGCTATCTCTCGTCTTAAAATGGTGTATAGTTTTGTCATTGAGAAGAAGGGAAATAGAACATAAATCCCGATAGCGAAATTTCACAAATTTAACATTGTGTCTCGTGGAACAATGCTCTAGTTGAGTGAACTACAACTTGGAGTCACTTCAATCAAATTCTGGAAGTCAGGCTTCCGTAGTCATAATAGTTTTGTGGTGGTGAATGTGCTCGTTCATACATCCGCATCAGATTACGAGTGGAACGTCCTGCTCAATATCCCCTGCAGTCGCTAGCCAGTCTAGATCAGTCGATCCTCGATATATTGATGGCTCATCAAATATATCTTCGAACCTCTTCACTTCTGTCTTTTGATTTCACTTGGTGGGTACGATTCATAGTAGAAAGTGTTACTAATTACTGATGTGAAGCTTTAAATACCTGTGGCATCTTCAGTATCTATCTTCTCCGGTTACAAATCACCAAGATTTGTGGTTTGTGTTGAACCTGATATGTGGTATATGACCAATATAGTAATATAATACGGAAGTTTTATATTAATGACTGCAAAACGAATACCTTGAGATAAAAATCTACGTATTAATATGTGTTCTAAACTTTATTTAAAAATAATCAGAAGTTCTGCTTTTGCGACTGAGTAAAAAATTATAGCAATAAAGAAAACAGAAATCAAATTTGTGTTCATTTAAGGGCTCATCACTTTTGTGCTCATCGAAGGTACTCAGTGGAGCGCGAAGTTATCTTTTCAAACACAAAGCTTTTCAACATTCAGTATAAGGTAATACGAAATATAATTCCCATGTGAAATAAGTAGGTGGATGAATACATGGGTTTTATTGTTTTGAAATATATTTGGATATCTGAGATTAACTTGTAGGGCCAGTGAAATATCACTGAGCCCTAGCCAAATCATTCGGCAGTTGGGTCATTGAATATCGAACAAATCATCGATCCCCGTCAAGGTCAAGGACAACCAACGCGCAACAGTTAATCATACGTCATGAACTGGCCTGTGCGGTGGTTGTCTTACATTTACTAATACATTTCCTCAATAACGTCTTTTGTGTTATACGGTCTTCAGAGCAGCCGTAGTACTTTGATACGCCGAAGGGGTAATCGAAGTTAGCTGGTTCGTCATACGATTCCCGTCTAACTCGTTATCCAGTGAGACCAAAACTGTGCGACAAATAATGGTTTTAGCCTCGGCTGATGTGTGATGCTCTGACAAGACACCAATTTCATACCAGATAACATCACTTTTTACTTTTTACAAGGATATGACGATGTTATGGATGTTCGTTGGAGTATTTTAGCATACAATCTACAGATCTAAACACCGGTTTAACAAAATAAACTGGTGCAATAGATGAGTTACCATGTCATTCCAAACATATAACGTATAAAAAATAGCTCCATCACTATCAGAGTTACTTTTACTAATTGAACCAAATGTCAAACTTGCAGAGGCAAAAATATGAACCGGAATACACTTAAATCAGTAGTTCAGTAAATCAGCATTAAAGTTCACAAATTAAAACCAGATGAAAAAATTGCGAATGGAACCAATAAAAGGCGAAACGAGTCAAGAGCCATACCTCGGATCCCAAAGTGGAGATGAATAGAAGCTTTAGAGGCTAATGTGATGACGAAAACTTTTGACATTTAAAACAACTCACCTGCAACTCTTCTACCTACTGCCGTGGATAAAATAGAACGACGTATAACAGAATACAGCATTTCTGATGACAACTCCAAGCCTCTATCCCTTAACTTTTGCAGAGAGAGTCTAGATTTTGATAATTCTTGAGGAGATCCAATGTATTACTTGAAAAGTCAAGAGGGGCTCCAAAAACACAGAGAATAGAAGTTCCTTAGAAACACTTAGAAAGTGAAGAGTCACGTTTCAGATTTCTCACTGGATAATTAATTATCCTGCCACTGTGTTTAGTATGATTCCAGAAACATCTTGAAGCTCAGGGCCGTCTGAAATACTATAAATAGTCCACTTAGAAGAATTGTCATGTTTTTAATACAAAGAATTTGTGCTTTCGATTCAGACAAAAATCTCATCACAAACATCGTATCATTTGCTATATAGTTATTAGCTGGATCTGTACTTTTTAATGTACGCTTCCTGTCTTCCTCAATGTTCAGGTTCAAATGCATTTCAAGTGTTGTGCTAAGCTCATTGAGTTCTTATCAACAAGTCTATTTAAATTTAAAATTTTCTTGTTGCCCTTAAAACTCATCTAAGTGTCTGGCTGTTTTACTTCTGAAACCAGTAATACGCTCAATTAAATGGTTCAAATGGTTGTGGACGGAATAGAAGAAGCTTTCGCCTAACAGGCTTCCGTATCTATTAGCAGGGGATCACCAGTACCTCCGGGCAAGAAACTAGGTATATTAACGATAAAAAGAGAAAAAATGACCTCAGACGTCGTTCGTGCAAAATATGCAGCTTCATACATGCCAAACAAATAGCGCCACTTAGCAAGATCTAATAATCCTAATGAAGACTCGGGAACATTTACTCGGATGTTTACATTTCCATGTGATTACGGAACGCATCTCCTAGATATGGTAATATAGTGACCATACACTAAGTACTGACATTCAGTCTGCAGATTGAATCTAAATTAAACAAGTAAAATTGTAAGCACAGCAGAGCACTTTGAAGCATGAAATTGAATGTTTCTTGAGGCATACTGCCTGGTGAATTGCACTGTATTTAGTTGAAATTATTACTAGAAAAACACAGTTTAGACCAGAGTAATATAGCTCTGGATTGATTGTACGACAATATGTTACTGGATACTTTCTTTTCAGTGTTGTTTCTATTCTTAGACAACTGCTAGTGACCTTACATACCAGTGTCAATATAAATCAACTCCAATTACGATGTGGTTAAAGGTGCCACAAATATTCGGGGTTTGATAGGGTCTTTACCAGTAACACCTTTGTAATTGAAGTATGCCGATCCAATCAAAACAGAAGTAAAACGGGAGGTGTTTCAAATACATATTTGGAAGGCTAGTGAAATATCAGGAAGCGTTTGATCTAGACTGGTTAACAGTTGTAAGCTATGTGTAGCACGGCTTGCCCACCCGTAATCTAGTGCGAATGCGTGAGAGAGCCTTCAGCTATATGTATCCATTAAAACTAATGAGGTCAACGTCAAATGTTGGGGACCTACAAAACTATTTGTTACGGGGATTTGTTTACCTCTACAAGGTTCAGATCTTGTACTCGTCCAATTAAATTACTATTCCAGTCCAGTTATGTCCATTCAGCTCAATTATACTTTGACTGCTTTGTACTACTGTATATGCTAACAAATTTTGTTACTGAGATATATATTCAATATTATTTGTATTTTAGTTCTTACTCAATTCCATTCACCAGACAAGTTCTTCAAGGTCGTCAAAACAAGAGGTAAATTCAGTCCTAAGTTGTGCGGTGGTTTGGACTTTTTGCTCTAACTTTTGATTTATAAGATTGTCTTAGTCCTAGGGTTGTGTTGTTTCTGTTCATTGTCTGTCTTTTTCACTATTAGGTGTGCGCTTGCTGTATCGTCTACTCACCTTATTTTATTTTCCTTTTTCTAGCGCTCCAAGCTATTCTGCGTGCTCTTCTTGTACAAAAGTACTTTCTGGTTTGACACAAACCACAACAGCTGACTCCCGTCCCTTGTTCAGGGTTCGTTTGACTTCACTACAATACAAATTACTGCCAACAAAACCACACATGTTCAAAAAGTGAGGTCGAGTTATTATTAATCGTCTTCGTAGGTTTGACGAAAAGGAGGACATTTCCTGTACAAATAATGCGAAGAACTCTATCGTGAAATCTTTGCGCGCTCGACTTACTGAAGGTTATGGCATTGATAGTAAAATGGTTGATCAGATTTTACCTAAGAAAGATGTTGTAAAACACATTAAGTGGTAAGGTGCTGGGTTTTAATATTAAACAAACTAAGTCATGAACATGTCGACTTGTATTCAGATTCTGATGGTGAAGTCATGTTTTTCCGACAACGTGAGGGTCCGTTTATTCCATCGCTCAGATTACTTCATAAATGTAAGTAGTTTCTGGTTGTAATCGTCTACGTAATATTTGATGATGAATCACATTTATGTTTTAGCTGATTTATAACTTGGCCGTATAGATTTCGATGGTTATTTTTAGCAAACGTTGAAAGCCAGAAATTGTAGTCTGATCGTATGCATAACAACCAACAATGCTTAAGTCCTCCCATTCACTGGAATTACTGCAATTTATAACGTAATCCCTTTCGACATTTGGAAATATGGAGTCAGTTATTTGTAAGAGTTCTTAACACTCAATGATTTTGTGATTATTTCCAACAAATGCATATTCGGTCCAGAAAACCACATTTATCTGTTTGTATTCACAATTACCCTAACACGTGTGATGATTTCATATGGTTTAATGTATCTTAACTGACCCATCAACCTGAATTATATTGTATTTGTCGAAGCGTGCTACATGAAAATAACATGTCAAGTCCTATGGGTTTCACATATCACCAACTAGTGACGACTGTCGAACAGTCTTCAAAACTCCCAACTTATATCAAACCATATATCCGTTAAATACATTTTATTATGCATTCATCTTTGGAGGAAATTGATCCACTTTTTTTAAACCTACACAAAACTTTATTAAATTGTTCAGATCCTTTCATACTACCTCATTTACAAGTTGACAAAGGTGCTATCAAGCATGTTTTAAATGGGTCCAATATTATGTGTCGTGGTTTGACATCACCCGGTGCTCGGATGACAGAAGTTCCTAAAGAGTCAGTTGTTGCTGTAATGGCAGAAGGAAAAACAAATGCACTTGCAGTTGGTATTACTATGCTATCTACTGACGAGATGTGAGTATTCGAAAATCTTTATTTATGTGGAAAATATTTCGAATTTGCCTTAAAAGTATTTTTAAACTCTTTGATTCTTACCAAGGTTCTGAAGATAACTAACTGGTTGATCTTGATTGTCTGAATTGCTACATTTGAAACTTAGTGTTTTACTGGTAGGAAAAAAACCTGATTTGTTGTTTAGTAATCTTTTAATGTTATTTTATTTCAACTCTAATGAGAAAAAATCAATATTCATGTAAACAAATTACTAAAATTAACTCTCAGTAACATAAACATAATTATATTGTACTTCTGAGGTTCTTGTACAGAAATATGTGAAAAGGTGCTAGCGGTCTTATTCTGATGAAGATTAATTACTTACTTTTCAGGGTATATATATATTTATCATTAGGTGTGAAAAAGTACCTTAATGAATAAATCTCTTAGCTTTCAAACAGAACAACTCACTCACTTCGCTGTAAAAAGAGGACTCTTTCACTTATCCTCATTCAAATAGTGTGGCTGAAGTGCGAGTACATTAATATTTACTCGTTAGTTAAGTTACATTGACATGTATTATTCGAAATATCTTTCGGCGCTTTTTGATCTACTTCGTATTTATCTTAGTGTTATAGGACATGATGAACTAACTTTGAAATCCTGTTTCTTAACAAACAGAGGTTTAAATTTACACCTTTTATTTCTCTAGAAAGCACCTAGATTAATCAGATATAACTATAGACAGTTGTGGTGCTTTATAATAATGGCTTTACCAAAAATCACTCCAGTTTCTGTGCAACTAAAAGCTCCAGCCTAACGTTTTATTTGACATTATGGTCGGACTCAATTGTATTAATCAAATGAAGCTATATAATTAAAACGATTATTCATTGAGGTTAAGTGGATAATCTGAATGGTCATAAAACCATAAATGGCAACTTTAGTCGTAGGGAAATGTTTTGTTATTCACTGTAGTTTGATCAGCTTATTGCGGCGATATTTATAATGGGGTACCACAAAAGATGTTACGCGACGTACAGTCAAAACACTCGAGAAATGGAAGAAGACAAATTATTGTGTAAAAGACAAAAAATAAACAAGAAAGGAGTTCCAAAAGGAACAGTGCAAGTAAAAACACAGTTTGGATGTGTTTCGCTCAGTCATGATTTATATCTTATCGTTTATGGAAAACAAAAATATCCAAAGGCTTCCTCACTGGCCTATCTCATGAACGATGTTTGATAAATCAGTAAACTATTTACTAGCATCTCATCCAGGTATTCATAGTAATCCATTACCTAGAGCTGATCAATATCATCAATTGAATAAGATAATCAGACTGTTTAAATTACACCGCTCCAGTTCATGGAATCAATTGCTGTTTCCTCAGATCTTGTAAAATCCCTCAATATAGTAGAGATTAATGACTTTAGATCGACTAATTCTATATATATATATATATATATATATATATATATATATATATATATATATATATATATATATATATATTTATTTTAACACATAGTTATTGGTACAAGGAGGCACCAAATACATATGCGCCACACGAATCTCAATTGATTTGTGTGAGGGCTGTGATACTGCCCGGGTGCCCAAACCGAAGCAGGTGGTTTTCTTAGGGGGCCACACCCCGAGCCTTTGACCTGAACGTCTGATCCACAAGGCAGTGGAGCATCGTGAGGAGATGCAGTCCCATGGTAGCCGGTGACCAACGATTGGTTCATAGGCCATTTGTTCCCTCAGGCAGGATACTGGAGCCCATGTGCACCATTGATTTGGGGTCCGGTTAAAGCGCCGGACATTCGCTTTTCGTCCTCTCATTTTCGTAAACAACAGTAATGCCACGTGAAGGCAGTGAGTAGGACTTCCCTGGCAGGGGCTATGTACGCGTGGCCATGTGAGAGCATTTCGAGAGGGAGAGCGGACTCTCCCCACTCTCGGCCGTACCAGGTCATTTTGGGGGCATATATATATATATATATATATATATATATATAAGGTTCAAATGGCAGATGAACCTGTTCTAGTCACCGGCTACAATCGGACCCCGTTTTGTGACCTCGCTCCGCTATCACATAGACTACACATGTTGGCCAAAGTCTCGGGGGCTGGTTCTCTGAGAAGGCCATCTGGTTTGGTTTGAACATTCACATAATGTTTTAGTCCACACAAATATAATAATGATGCTTAGTATTTTAGAAAATGTTCTCCGTCTGTTTCACTATGTATTTAAATCATATTTAAACACCAGTGTACATTTTATGTATTCCAACATCTCTGTTAACTTCCTAAGTATTCTAAATCGTAAGTTGGCACCTAGATTATGTGTGTGTTTAATAAATACATACAATGTCCATGTTTTGCAAGGTTTTCTTTTGACATCTAGGTTTCATTAACATATGAGATTAGTGTGTTCCAAACATAGTCAAGTAGCAATTTGTTTCCAGGAAGTACCAATTTTGAGAATGGATAAAGGCATTGTGTAGTTCGGTAACCAACTTAGTGATTGACGCAAACACACCATACCCCTATCAAAGGTTGTCGAGGAAGTTTGACATCGGACAGGAGCCCCTGCAGCTCATGTCTGTACTCTGATCATGTTTTCATATTTTACAAAGGCGATGTGTGATTTTGCGTAAAACAGCAAATTACTTTTCCTCACCATATCTTCGTTTACTACAGGAGGATCAGTCATAATGATACTATTGTATTTTGTTCTCAATCGTCCCTTAATTTACTCAACGTTTTTAATCCTTTCGTACTGCCTGTTGTGTATTATGTTTAAACCCACTGTAACTGCTATTATTTCCACTCTTGTTTTTCATTGAGGCAATATCCTCTGTTGTAGTGCTGATATAAGTTGTGATAATTCGGAAGAACACTTTTTGTGCCAGGTCTTACTATGTGTATGATGGACTGATTGTGTTCTAATTTAGATCACATTTTTCTAAATACGTTCTCTTTTCGTCCTATTAATAATTTTTTCTACGATTTCTACCTTCTGCTTCTCTGCAACGATATTATTTCCTTTTTTTTGTGATGAGTTTCTCAACGATTAGTGTTAAAACTCTTTCTTACAACTGAATAAAACCAAAATTTATTAGCGATTTGGTGGTAACAATATGAACAAACCTATGTATTGTGGCAACATTACTTTAGAATAAAGCATAGTTCTTAATATAATTTTTTGATTGATCAAAATATTCTGTAAATGACATTACGTTTTATAGATAGTTTTAGTTGCGGGTCGGTAATATGGTTAAAGAGGTACTGCAAATACGAAATCAAATTTAATCTGACCAGGTATATCGAACAAGTAATATACAATTCAACGATCAGTCAGTCAGTAACAATGTAGAACTTCGTACGTACGTACATCAGTTCGAGTTGTCACACCACACTTGCACAGAGATGCAGTTGTCGATTCAAATCCTGTAGTGGCAGAGGTAGTAAGAGTATAAACAGTAATCAGAAAGATTAGGGTTTGAAGATATTATTCGAGGAGTATAATCCAGTGGAATAAATTTGGAAAAGGATAAAAGAAAGGGACATGAAGAATTCAGAAGATTAGGATTTGGGAGAACACAAAGAGTGGATGCACCTGCGCCATTGCAAACGATTTTGAGCCATGTCATTCAGGGTCTCTAACCATCCGTTGCTATCATCTCGCGGATCTCAATAAGGTAGTCTACATGTACCAACATGGCTCAGCCCACTTGTCAGTGACTTCATGGATTTGTGCAATGTTTTGGTCTGACCGCCCCTAGCTTCCTTCCAACCTATTCCTACACCATAAAACATCAATAAAATCCAGATCAAAGAGAATTGGCTGCACTTTGCTAGAGAAATTTCATGTTTTTAGAAAAGACTAAAATGGTAGTAAACATAGCTTATATCTAGTATTTTACAAGGTCGAGTGACTATTACAAATAGGCATCAATTACCTTGTATTAAACATGTAAACTTAAGGATAACTATTGTTATCGTAAGCACAACACAATCACCATCTACGAATCAAGCTAATGTTCATAAATGTCTAAATAAAACCATAAATCTGTATTCGCCAGCGTCTAATTGCGGAATATATTCTCAGTCTTAATCATGAAGTTCAACCATGTCGAGAGGAAATTAATTGCCCACCGTGGACTCTCAAAATATCGCTAATAGATTAAAGTAAAATGTGAACCATTAGATTCAAATTCCGGTTTATGGGTAGCACTCTGTAAGATATGGTAGTATGAGTTCAGTTGTTTAAATTGTGTGTCCATTGCTTAGGAATCTTATATATACAGTTAAGTTCCTTACGGTTTTCAATTGTTACCTAACCGTTGTCGATCCGTGACGAAAACTGCCTGCAGACCAAACTAAAGTCAGTACTTGTGATTTTTAGCTCCAGAGGCAGTTGTGACGTTTTTATTCGCCATATTTTCAGCAATTCACATGTGAATTGAGATGGAAGCTTTACACCTATCAATAAGTATTGTTAATAAGGTTTTATTTGATAATTTGGTATAAAATGAGTATCGGGTGGATTGTTGATAATAAAAATGATATATTTGTTGTGTCTCAATGACTAGAAAATTAAATTCCTGACGTTTCGTGACTCAGCGTGAGTCACTTTGTCAGAAAAAATATGAATAAGCAAATATATTTGACACAAGCTTAAGTAGTATGAAGAAACGAAACAGAAATATTCAGTACAACCAAAAAGACAGGTCTAATTTATTATTTACAGTTGTCAGTATTCTTGACTTTACTCCTGCTAGTTTTCTTAAGATCGTAAGCCTAAATCGGGATTTTTGGTCACACATTTCATTTTTTAAGTCAAAAACTTCAATTTTATATCATATTTCGATGAGATGTTTCTACTGGACTTACAGGTCATTGGTTACCCTTTTGGAATGAAATTTTTATATTTATTTGGTCGGAATGTTGAAAAGTTTTCCTGCATAAATTGGACTGAATGTTTAAAATGTGTAGTTATAAAGACTAAGTAAACTAACTGTATTCCTAAAATAGTTTTAATACGTGCTATCCTACTATTGTTCTCTTCTTTCTATTCCAATAGCTTATCAACCAACAATGGCATTGGGGTAAAAAATGTACATTATTTGAATGATGGATTATGGCGTCTCAAAGGCGTACGATAATTGACTTTGTTAAAACAACTTTGGGTACATTCTTATTTGTACATAGACCTTGTTATCACTCCCTTGAGTGATTTGTAATGTACTTGTCGAAGTGATAATATCTGAGTTTATAAATAAACTTTTGGTGTGAAATCTTTTGTCCTTTTATTGACAGATTTTTTAAAATTATTTGATGTTTATTTCAATAATTATATTTGTCTTGATCTCACATATCATAACACGTTCCCTTGTCTACTTTTCTTTGGGTGTTCTTATCATGTCTGACTGCGTTACAGTTTTCATCCTGTTGTCACTTCAAACAGCACTGCTCATTGAACTAAATAACTATTGAGTTACAAATATTGCATCCCAACCACTTCTAAATTTTTAGCATAGCATTTATCCCATTTTATTCCTTTGATTTCATCTAGGTTTGTTAAGGTTTACTGGCTGTTTTATAAATTGTAGCCAAATTGTAACAAATGAAGATTACTCGGACTGAATCTGCTAATGCCTCAACTGTCATCTTGTGATTAGATCTCTAACCTATATTGCTAAATATAAGTGACTCGGACTAAAATATTCTGTACTTTTTACGTCTTAATTTATTCAATGTTCCCAGCTGCTTGTTGTATATTTGCCTTTTTGTTTTCATGTTTAAAACAGCATGAATAAATCCTGTCTATATCTTAACATGTTGCAACGGTTTTTCCTAACATTTATTTTGATGTATTTCTCAATGTTGGTTTAACACGGGAAGCTTAGTGCTAATGTCCCAATAAATAGACCACCTTATTTAAATGCTTTGAAGCTATTGCTTGAGGTTGTGATTTATTGATCCTGAGACAAGATTTTCAATCACATCGCCACACTTTGCTTTTGATCCAGGTATATCAAAGTATCATTTTGTGTTAGATCAGGTTTGAGAAATTACACCTTGAAATTGAAGGTCTCAAATTATTTAAAACTGAAGGTTTCGAATTTTAAATAATTCGAAACCAGTTTTTGATCCAATCTAGAATATTCATTCTGAAAATGGACCCTTAATAATGCCATAGAGCGAGCATATTTTTTATCATTTCAGTTCAGTGAGCTCTACAACTTCTTGAGGTCCTCATCATGGCAATCGTTCATTGTGTGGTACTTACTTTATTTCTGTCGACTTCTAATTAAGCATTTATGCAAGGGGATTGACACATAAGTTGTTATTACTTACTTAAGTGGTATTTATCTTTGACATTGCGTTGACTTTTATCTATTTTAACCATCATGTAAGAATTCTCTGTAAACTCTATGAAATGGCATTTTCGAAAATTCGGTCATGTATATCAATCACTCTTACAAATTACAGTAGGTAAAAATTGTTTTTATTTTGTCAACTGTATTTTTAATAAACCTTGCTTGTTGTTGAAGCTGTTCAAAATCCTCTTGACAAATATATTATTTTCCACCCCTTAAAACTATTGTTTTCAACTGTACAAGTATGAAAGTTTGATTAAGTAGAAAAATTTTGGTTATATCCGTTGAATTTCTACCAGTGTTCGAAAGTACGCTTGGAGACAGTTTTCAGGTGAAGCTAGTTAATATAACTTATCTGTGCTCAAAATGCGAATGTTCCCATTTCTGATTAACACAGAACATTGGTACCGCAGCACATTTCTACCGTGCTATCAGAAATCATTTTTATCAACAGATATTTATGGGATCCTGTATGAATAGACTGACTTTACTCTAGACAGATTGGTTATATCAAGACTTTTGTTAACGACGTTGTCATTTGACATAGATCAGTTAATGCTTTTCTTAGAGTTCAGCCTAACGGCCCTGATTTAATTAAATTGAGTTCATTTAACTTAGTGTGGTTTGTAAAACTGAACTGGATACAAAATTTATGATGCAACACTATATCTTTACTTCATAACTTTCCCCATCACTTCTAGAAGACCGGATTCATCTTTTGGCTGAACTTGATAAAAATTTTATACAATATCTGTGAATTGAAAGTTTGTGTCAATAATCTCAATGATATGCCACAATATTGCTAATTAGTCTCTTTTTGAATTACAAAGCATCATCATTTTGAAAACCCTGTTCCAATAATTGTTTAGGCTTTCACTTGAATAGTGTAGTACAGATATTTTTGTAAATTTTTAACTTCAGATTATTCATAAGATAATGGGAAGCGAACTTCTCAGTGTGTTTTATGGGTGAGGATTCTTTATCTATCTCCACTATTCTACCTTCGAAAATATTATACAGAATTAGTATTGAATTCAGACAAACTGTTTTGACCACTCATACATTTGAAAGTTAAGTGATAAAGTGCTTTTAAATGGTGTTTCATCAGAGATCGGTCGTCTCTCTCGTATTTGGTTCGAAACAGGACTTCCAGATGGTTTTTGTCGGTGATTACCTAATTTTATATGATTAAACCATGGGTAATGTTGGGAGATTTGTGCTAGAAACCCACACAACAGCTAAAGTTGATTAGTTTAGTCTTAAAACAAATTGGAAAAGCAAACAAATACACTGATATCAATCCTATTGTTATCCTATGTGATACAAGAAAATTTTACCTTAACTGGCTCTTAAGATGGTTAGTTTAATTTATTAGGGTTAATAAATATTCGAGTATCTATGTTTTTCATAACGGCAAAATAGCAAAATTAATGTCGAGATAGACTAACTAATTCCAGTCACTAATGCATGTAATGCTGGCTGGGGATATATTGTTGATTAAACATCATGTGCTGGATGCACTCAATTCCATAGTTGATTCAGGACACAAGATTAAAACTACTTCATTCTCAAACATTACTTGATACAACTCCTAACTGAATATTAATTATGTAAATTAATTTCGTGGGTTACAAAGATAAATACGGACTAGTTTACAATGATTACTTTAATTAGATAATCAAAGTCACCTGTTACCTGCCATAATCCACATATTCTGGTTCCTAATGTTAAGTCTTGGAAGAAGACTCGGGTAAGTGGCTTCAGAAAGTGAATGATATATATATATATATATATATATATATATATATATATATATATATATATATATATATATAAAGTGTACATTACACATCGGGTTATTGGTATTACTATTATCATTTGATGTTGCTGCTACCTTTGACGTGGTGGTCAGGCTTGCCCATCGTAATGAACCAGTCGAGCTGTAATGGCTGGAACACTCGTTCCTAAAGGTCCTACCTTGCCAGACAAGTCGGTTGAAGAGTGGTGAGACTAAAAGCAGCTAACCCAAAGTCCGAGGGCGAAGTCGTACTGCTCACTGTACAGAGGTGTGATGGCAGAAGGGTGTTTCCTTCAAACAACCAACATAACAGTAATGCTGCCTTTCCACAAAGAAAGGGTGGGGTTAGAAAAGGTCGACACTAAAAATGCACAACTCGCCTTATCTCACGGATATCCGTCTCAGGAGGTAAGGTTCCATATGTACGGAGCTAACACGAAAATTACTCACAAAAGGTCGTGTGTGACGGACCTCAATCAGTTGTCCCTTGGGCACTGCGGTCACTCTCTCAGGTCACTAAGACCACCCCTAACCCAATTTTATTTCCAGGTACCTTCAGAAGAACCCTTCCACGGTGTGGGCGACCGGGAAGTGACAACTGATCTCATACCTCTGACAACACTTAAGACCAGTGCTAATGAGGTGTGGCAACTTAGACCGATGCATATATGTGCCTGGTCCTACATTGCAGCTGACTGAAGAGTGAAGTTACATGCATTATAGTGGATAGTGATTATAATACGGAGACTATGGTGGGATTTTACCCCTGAGTTGGGTGGTTCAGTCGTGGAGCTTTTTGATCTTCTTCTGAACGACATCATCAACACAAACTTCAAGTAGAAGTTAGGTGGTTGAACTTCTCCACATATAGCTCACAGCTTGTCCTGTAAACCTCGATCTCTAACCTGTCACTGTTTACTTCATTATTTTGATTGCATATCTCACTGTCTCAGGTCTTCCTAAACCTAGGTCCAAACTACACATTGGAGCCTTCAACGTACGTACACTTTGCCAAATCAGTTAGCATGCCTACTTGGCTAAATCCCTAGAATCTCGTACGATCGATGTGTGCTGTGTCTCGGAAACACGTATACAGGATCCTAGTGTGGTCAGTCACTTGACCTCACCTCGCCTAAACGGAGAGCCGACGAGATACACTCTCCGTCTATCTGGCGACCCGATGGCTAGTTCTCGTGAACTGGCAGGTGTAGGTATAGCACTAAGCATGAAGGCGGAACAAGCACTACTAGAATGCATTCCCGTTAACAGTCGCCTACGTGCTGTTCGGCTAAACGGCTCTGTAAGAACTCGGAAGGATGGGGACACATGTTTGTACCTTTTTGTCGTTTCTGCCTACGCTCCCACGGACTGCAGCCGGATGAAATGAAATATGACTTTTACAGAAAGCTTTCTGAACTTCTTCACCAAGCTTACCGCTCAGATATCGTCTAACTTGGCGACCACCTGAACCAAACCGACGATGGACTAAAATAGATCATATTGACATCAGTTATCGTTGGAGAGGCGCAATGGAAGACTGTCGCTCGTTCTGGAATACCTGTTTGGACTCCGATCATGCTCTAATACGATCACACATTTGCTTGCACCTCTCTGGACTCAGGAAAACCACATTAAGAAGACCAATCCGAGTCGGACTCAGTGACAAGTAGACCAAAAGTGGATCCCAGGGGCAACTGAGTTCACACCTCGATAGTTTTGAAAGTGAGGCTGACCCAGATGTTGCTTGGAAAGATATATGGACAGCTGTGGAAACAGCACCGACATCCATTGGTGATTTAAACCAAAGCTTTGAGAAAAACATGGACTTTTACTAAGTCCCGTAAACTCATCCCATGAAAAGAGATAGAAAAGGCAGCGGCTGTATGTAACACCAGACAGCTTTTCAGACTAATAAAACAAACTGGAACTAATAAGTCGAGTGTAAGTCAGACTATTTCGGAAAAAGACAACACCCTCATTTGCTCCCAGTCCAGACGTTTAGAACGATGGGCAGAACATTTTAAGGAGCAGTTCAGTTGGCCTTCAGCTACTCTACAAATAACCACCATTCCCAGACAGTATGAATGGAACATTGAAGTACATCTCCCGACTGTAGCTGAAGTTCAAAAAGCTATAGCCAATCTGAAACGAGGAAGGGCAGCTGGTCCAGATGGATTGGCTTCAGATGTCTTTATGGATGGTGGTCCAGTTTTAGCGATTAGGTTGACTAATATTTTAGCTGAAATCTGGAATGTGAATGTAAATCCATCTGACTGGTCTCAATCACTGATTGTCCGAATATATGAGAAGGGGTCAAAATAATCCTGTGATAACCATAGAGGAATTCGTTTGACTAATATAGCATCTAAAATACTAGACTGAATAATTATTGGGTACCTAAGAAAGACTCGTGAACCGCAAACACGAGGAAATCAGACTGGCTTTGAGCCTCGTCGTGGCTGCATCGACTACATATTCATCATTCGTTGGGTTTTAGAATACAGGCATACTTATGGGCGTCCGACAATGGTGGTTTTTCTTGACTTAAAGGCAGCATTCGGCAGTGTTGTCATTGAAAGGTGTACCTCAGAAGTATATAAACCTTGTGGAGTGTCTTTACTCAATCACTACCAGCTGAGTCAGAGTTATGGTGAACGACAAAGCTGTCCACTATCTCCATTTTTGTTCGACTTCATCGTAGACATACAGATGGAGGTAACGTTCCCGTCGACTGAATTTTGAGGGATCGATCTCCTACCACGAGGTTCACTTATCGACTTAGAATACGCAGATGACACAGTTTTGTTTGGTGAAGACGCTGATGAAATGCAGAGTCTTTTGGTAGCACTGAGCAACAATACCAGCATGTTGAGGAAGCATTCCCCCCTATAAATGCAAGTTGTTGCTTCATGACTGGCCTGCGTCAACACCCGAACTAAGAATAGGGAGTGAAGTAGTTGAACACGTCGACAACTTCACTTGGAAGTTTGATCAGCTCTAATCGGTTGGCGTCTGACGAAATCTTTGTACGGATTCAGAAAGCTCATTTGACTTTTACCACCTTACGCCACCTATGACGAAGGCGACATATCCGTCTATCAATTAAGAACGAGTATACTGAACGGCAGTTCGTTCTGTTCTACTTTACGGCTGCGAAACCTGGCCATCAAGAGTAGAAGATACTCGAAAATCTCAGAAATGTTGCTCGCATCTGCTGTGATCACCGGGTAAGTAATAGTGAGGCTAGACGCAAAGTATTAGGGAATGATGGTAAATCAGTTGATGAGGTTGTGAATCTTGGTCGACTGAGATGGTTGGGCCACGTGTGCGTGAACACCGATCGCCACGACGCGCAATACTGACTACTGTTGGGGATGGTTGGAAGAAAGTTAGGAGTGGCCAAACCAAAACGTGGCGTCAGTGCTTGAAGTCATTAACTACTTGTCTGAGACATGTTGATATATGCAGACTACTTGGTTGGGGTTCGCGTGACTATCGTAACCAATGGTTGGAGACTCTGGCTGATATGGCTCAGAATCGATCACAATGGCGTAGGTGTGTACACACTTTGTCAACCATTAAACCGTGAGGTTGGGATTGTTTTATATCTTTCTTTCTACGAACTAATTCTTTCTTCCTGTACTATATCCTTATACACGGTCCATTCTTTTATACCTTTCTACCGTTGATGGGAGTATTATGGATTTGGTGTTCATCTTGTTATGCTAATGAGGTAGGACAATTTGGATCGGTGCATATATGTGCCTTGTCCTACGTTGTAGCTGACTGACTTATTCTTGAGGGGATTGGTAATGTCTTCAGTACTGGCTAACTTATACGGTTAGATCATTCAGTAATATTTCATTTTTATTTCGATTTGTTTTCAGTTTTTATGGCAAGTACGATTGTGGCATTCATTAACATACGTAGATTTCTGTCTGATTGGTTTAGTTATAATTTGAACATGTATTTAGTAATAATATTTAGCAGTCTATCTTTTATACATCAGTACGTGAAATATCATGTTTTCAGTAAGTTGTATTCATAAATTTCAATCACGTATTATCACTCAAGAAACTTATTATATTATTGTTGTGCTAATGTTAAATTTCCATGACTTTTGTACTTCTTTGATGTACTTAGTCTCAAGTTTGCTCGTTTTAATCAAGGCATAAGACAATTGAAACAATCTTTTCATCGTCCTTCGAATTATGGATTTCATTTTTCCTATTTTTTCATGTATTCATGTATGTTACAGCAAGCGTTCCTGTTTACTGCCAGATTTATTTGCTATTAGTAACTGTGCTTTTCTTGATTAAGTTGCGAATTTTGGGTAATATTACATGGGAATACAGTTAGGAATCTAATACGTCTAATAAGTATGGTGCTTGTTAAAGTAAATGTATTGTATTCTGAACATAAATGTTATCGTACTAGTCAATTGATGGCAATCAGTAATTCATCTTAGTATTCATCATCATGGTTAAAGATATCCACCAGCATAGATTGTCATAAAAAGAGCCATCCTCAGACTTACAAATTCAATGGTTAACATAGGATAGATTACTGTAGTCTATGATTAGTGACTAAAGGTGATATGGCTTAAAATCGGTTATTTTGCGGTTGATGCATTTATTTTAAATCATTCTCTGAATCTTGAATCTTGTTATTTTATACTGGTCATTTTCCTATCTTATGCTTTGCTGACTGTACTTTGTATATTTATTTCTCTACCAACATTGATATTATTAACTGGTTGACTGTCTCTGATTTTGTTTAAACTGAAGCTCATTTAATGACTAACATATCAGTTAGTACCCTTCAGATATTCAATTCTATTAAGTATCATAAAATTACTTGATAGATTTTTACCATTGAGGGTAGATAGTTTAAAACTTAGTACCATTCATGTACCACGTTTTACATACAACCACTAGAAAGGTTAGTTGATTTAGTTCTTATGCAGTAAAAATTTGAGTAGTAATAAATATCGTAGTATACGTAACAAATTAAATGTTTCCTTTAGGTATATAAACAAATGTGTTTGAGAAACATTTTATTTATCCTGTCCATAGGTAGACATTTGTGTATATGCATTTCAAAGATTGAATAGTAGTAATAATTTGTATAGAACAGCGAGTGAGTAAAAATTCATGCAATTATTTAGTATCCTGAATAGGTATCCATTTCAGCTGAAATCCCTTTTGAATAGTTAATTCACCTCTGTGAATCTTACCTTAAATAAAAATGTGAGAATTTCATGTATTAAATCAATTTACGTACAAAATGTTATTAGAAATTGACTGCACTTTTGAAGGATTACTTTCTCGAGAAATGGTTTAGATCAAAAGTTTTGAATGCTAAGATGACACTAGTATAGAATATTAAAATAATAAAATAAATTTTCTCAGATTATTTCGAGTTTTATAAATGTTATGGGTTTTTGTAGTTTGTCAGATAATCGTACTAGCCTAATGTTAGCTTGATGTATGTATAGTTTGAGTCTCAGTACCTTAGATTGTGGAGATTTGTAGCTTGAGTGGATGATTTTGGTGGAGTTTTGTTCTATTTCTGAGTTTCTTTAAAACTTTTTGTTCTTGTGAGGTCAGTTAGGTGTTTTCTTTCTTCTATCGAGTTAGAGGTACTGTGTTTTGTCTTATTTCCTGTTGAGTATCTTCACTTATTCCGGCAGTTTGGAGTGATGACTCTAATGCGGTGAAAAATTCTAGCTTTGAGGCGTCACTTGTATTGTAGTTTAATCCTTTTCGGAGTAGGTGTTCTATGTTTGTCACCAGTTGCTATGACAGGTCGACCACCCATTTGTTTGTGTTTTCTTCCTTGGGTGGTTATGAAATCTTGATTAGTTTTTCTAAAGGTTGTTTCGTCTTGGCTCTTTGTGTCGTCTACATAATATCTCGAAGGCTTTTATCAAGATCGCCAAATATTCTGACGTCAGTATCCTCCTTAGCTTCTTCTTTTTGTTATCCATGATGTGTCGGTATTTGTGGATTTTATATTGTGCATCAGTTATCATTATGTGTGCCATTTTTCTTCCACTTTGTTCAGCTATTCTCCATCTCATTGAGCAATCGATTGGAGGTCTTTATCTTACACTTGTTGGCAGTATATGCTGACGAAAACCCTCGTAGAAAAAATACGATTGTTCTCAAGTGGATCGATTTCCAATTTATTAACCAATCAGAAAAATTATGGACAAATATGGGACCGACAATCAAATCAATGGGAGATGCAATCAAAATAATGAAGTAAACAGTGACAGGTTAGAGATCGAGGTTTACAGGACAAGCTGTGAGCTATATGTGGAGAAGTTCAACCACCTAACTTCTACTTGAAGTTTGTGTTGATGATGTCGTTCAGAAGAAGATCAAAAAGCTCCACGACTGAACCACCCAACTCAGGGGTAAAATCCCACCATAGTCTCCGTATTATAATCACTATCCACTATAATGCATGTAACTTCACTCTTCAGTCAGCTGCAATGTAGGACCAGGCACATATATGCATCGGTCTAAGTTGCCACACCTCATTAGCACTGGTCTTAAGTGTTGTCAGAGGTATGAGATCAGTTGTCACTTCCCGGTCGCCCACACCGTGGAAGGGTTCTTCTGAAGGTACCTGGAAATAAAATTGGGTTAGGGGTGGTCTTAGTGACCTGAGAGAGTGACCGCAGTGCCCAAGGGACAACTGATTGAGGTCCGTCACACACGACCTTTTGTGAGTAATTTTCGTGTTAGCTCCGTACATATGGAACCTTACCTCCTGAGACGGATATCCGTGAGATAAGGCGAGTTGTGCATTTTTAGTGTCGACCTTTTCTAACCCCACCCTTTCTTTGTGGAAAGGCAGCATTACTGTTATGTTGGTTGTTTGAAGGAAACACCCTTCTGCCATCACACCTCTGTACAGTGAGCAGTACGACTTCGCCCTCGGACTTTGGGTTAGCTGCTTTTAGTCTCACCACTCTTCAACCGACTTGTCTGGCAAGGTAGGACCTTTAGGAACGAGTGTTCCAGCCATTACAGCTCGACTGGTTCATTACGATGGGCAAGCCTGACCACCACGTCAAAGGTAGCAGCAATGATCGGGAACTTCATTTATCAAGGTTAAGGACGAAAAGTGAGACTTCTGTCTTTCTGTTATCTTTATCAGCAATTCTCAAGAATTCAGTCTGTTTTCCTTTCGTAAACAATTACAAAGTCAATATTTTGTATTTTTTTACGCAGATTTCTGCTAACCATTTTTTTTGTTTTTGTTTCAGTTTCACTGTCGAAAATACAAAGTGAAATCATGCGCTTTTATAGCACTGTGTTTCTTTGCAGCAGTTCTATATTTCAGTAAACATTATTTCGTCAGTGATGTAATAGTAAGGATATACGATTGGAGGTGGGGCCCAGCTGATAGTCAAAATTGTCCAGTATTTGATCACTCTGAGGAAGATCCTACTATTAATCGTATGGCAGTTTTAGTACCGTTTCGAGACCGTTTCACTGAATTGCTAGAATTCATACCTCATTTAAACAACTTCCTCAATAATCAAAACGTTCGTCATACATTTTTTATCATTAATCAAGTGGATGATCTTCGGTGAGCTGAATTCTGAAATATATTTAAATAATATATGAATATTTGTTATATATATATATATATATATATATATATATATATATATATAGCCTGAACTAAAGTTATTTGTGGCCACACTATGAAGTGGCACCAGTCCATGAATTCATTGACTGTTTATTTAAGCCATGTAACTAAATGCGAGATCCCTGGTTCGGATCTATTTGGTCATCTCAGTCAGTAGTTAGTGACATTGATCAGAATCGTTCGTAATAGTGCCTATGCATTCTCCAAGTTTTCGAATTCAATATGAATTTATACATATATTTTCACTCAGTGGATAGGAGGTCCTTATGAAACTGGAAACAACTAGAAATGATTTCTCAGGATAGAGTTAGATCGAGAATGCTAGTGAACTGCCTATGCTTTTCCATGAGGGTTAACTGGAGTATGTTTTCACTTGGTGTTTTGTACCATATTCTCAATGTTCATTCTTGTTCATAATTATTGCTACCACATTACTTCGATTTCTTTGATATTCATCTTGTTAGTTTCATATTTTCGTACTGTTGTTTGCCAACTTGGAGTACTACACATTTTTCGGGCTCAATGTTCGTTGTGCCTGGCATACATTATATACGACAGCAACACCATATAAGATTTAGTATTATAAACAGTCTCAATAATTTATTTCAGGTTTAATAGAGGAGCTTTGTTAAATGTAGGAGCACTTGAGTCACTTGAAGCTGAAGTTAATGGAATTATTGTTGAAAGTATCATTCAAAAAAATTCATTGTATCAGTTATCTTCACAATGTTTAAAACTTCCTTTTACAAAATATTTGGCTTTACATGATGTTGACTTACTACCTGAAGATCCGGCATTAAAATATAATATGCCATCGGAATTAGGACCGATTCATCTTATTCCATTTTATCTTCATCCACGTTATTATTATTTTAAAGAATATGCCGGTGGTGTTTTAATCATTAAAAGATCTCAATACAGTTTAGTTGGTGGTATGTCAAACTCATTTTGGGGATGGGGACGAGAGGATGATGAATTCCAGATACGTTTAAAATCGAAAGGATTTAAGGTAATAATAAACAGAATTCATATTGATATTAATTCTCGTATGAATTTCTTTTCTGTTCAAAACAAAACAGTTCTTTTACTTTTGTTTTTGTTTTCAGTCAATCTTAGTAAATTTGACTTCGTAGATTAGTCAACAAACTCTATTTGGTATAGTATTTTATTGAGGTTTCACGTTTATTAGAATATTAGAAAGTTCCTTTCAGAACAAATAATTTAATGATATCAGTCTTCACATATAATTCAACCGTCTTCCATGCACAACTTTTCAGTGTATTCCATCGTATAAATTCTGGATGATTTTGGCGATTTTTTCAGGTACATCTTAGTGTCGAAGAAGGTTCCATATAGTTCTCCTATCCACATTGTCAAATGCTTTTCCATAGTCAATGAGGTTGATGTATAGTGACGAATTTCATTGAATTGATTTTTCAACGATGATCCGTAGTGTCACTATTGGTCTGTGCATAACCGGTCCTCACGGAATCCATCCTGTTGTTCTCAATGTAAGGCATCTACTGAATCTTCCACCCGGTTCAATAACACTGTTGAAAACTTTTCCAAGTACAGATAGTGTTGTGACGAGCGGTGTCTGATACTGATACACTGTTTGCTACGTGCTAACCTCCCAACTGACTACTTGAGCGAGAAAGTGTATTGGGCTACCAAATAAAATGCACAAATATTCATTCATATATATAACCATTCTAATCTTTAGGAAATCGATCCATTTCATAGCCAGTCAAATGCACTTAAACTTCAGGTCACTTCTGATTACCATCAATTAACCCTATCATTAGACTTATTGTTATTTAAACACGAATATTGGTACAAAGAGGCTCCAAATAGATATGTGCCACATAAATCATGCGATTTGTTTGAGGGTTATGATACCGCCCGGGTGCCCAAACCGAAATAGGTGGTTTTTTCGGGGGGCATACCCCTAGCCTTTGGCCTAAAGGTCTAATCCACAAGGCAGTGGAGCAACGTAAGGAGATGCAGTCACATGAAAGCCGGTGACCAACAATAGCTTCATACGCCGTTTGTTTCCTTAGGATCCTGGAGCCCATGTGCACCATTGGTTTGGAAACAGGTTTCTCCAACTCCCCAAGGTATATACTCCATATCCACCAGGCATTCGATTTTCGTCCTTTCAATTTCGTAAACAACGCGCCTACCGCGAGAAGGCAGTGAGTAGGACTTTCCTGGCAGTGGTTGTATACACGTGGTCATGTGAGAACATTTCGAGGGTGAGAGTTGACTCTCCCCACTCTCGGCCGTACCACGGCAGATAGTAGTGTGATTTCTCTGTAGTTCTCACATTTTCTCAGACATCCTTTCCTTAGTATCTTGATGAGATATCCTTCTTCCTAGTCTGTTGGCACTTGTTTCTCCTCCCAAATCTTACTCAATAGTGTGTGAAGTATGTTTGCAGTTGCTTCCGTGTCTGACTTCAGTGCTTTGGCTGGTATGTTGTCAGGTCCAGCTGTTTTCTCACTCTTGATCTGTCTGACGAACATCCTGATTTGCTCGATCGTTGTTGGGGTGACATCTATAGATAGATCTGTGTTTGCTGTTTCGATGTCCGGTGGGTTTCCCCAGTTGTCCAGTGTTTCTTTAGCTTTAGTTTCATCTTGGCAACCACCAGCTAGTGGTGATCTGAAGCTGTGTGAGCTCATCTCCCGGTTCTCACGCCTTCCATTGGTCATTGACCTTCTGAATTATTTAGTGATACAAATATGATCGATCTGGTTCTGTGTAGTGTGATTCGGTCAGATCCATGTAGCTTTGTGTATGCGTTTGTGTGGGAATATTGTGTCACCGATAACCATCTTGTTGAATGCACATAAACTTGCTAGCCTGTCACCATTGTCGTTCCTTTCTCCCAGTCACTTCATGTTGTTCCATGTTATCTTGATACTCAGTGTTGTTCATGTTATAACGTGTGATCCGCCTATTAGAGAGCAGCCTATTATCGATCGAAACAGTGACGCATAAACTACGTGCGAGCAGCCTAGAGTTCTGATTGGCCCTGCCTGCCTGTCTAGCTCAGCCATTTGAGTCCAGAACACAAGTCTCAGCCTCGGTGATATGAATCATTATATTTCAAACATACTCTGTTTATATACCCAACAAACAGACTACATCGTACCATAAAATAGAAAGTAACATTTGTACAAGATTTAACCTTCAGGAAATGACACAAATAAATATTGACCAATAGGGAAATGTCACGTTGGAAGAATGTTGACCAATGGGGAAATGACACTATTTCTCATTCAGGAATAGCGTTAGATAATTTCTGGGGTATTTTCTGAATACCCCAACAGTTCATTCGGACATCAGGGTCTAGATCTCCCATCAGGATGGTTAGGTTCTTCCCAGGACACTTCGCTATGATCGATTGCAGCGTCGAGTAGGACTGATCTTCATCATCTTCATTGCTGTCATTGGTGGGTGCATAACATCGGATAACATTCCTTGTGATTCCCTCCTTTGTCTTGAATGATGCTTTAGTGATTTTCAATTCATGAGATTCCCATTCTATAAGTGTTTTCCGTGTCGCTTTGGACAGCATCAGTGCAACTCTCTGTGTGTGCAGAGCATTTTGTTACTCGTGGTCGGAGAACGACAGCATCGCCACCTAATCTAACCTTTTCTGTCGAGCTAGGGTCTGATGGGTTTCACTTATTCCGAATACTTCCATGTTGTATCTCCCTATTTGTAGCATTGCTTTATTGGTCTCATTGGTTTCATCGTAGGTATCATGAGAAGAAGTATTCGTTTGCAATGCGTGCAACCCCAAGCAACACTTGAAACTAAATACTTAGTTCCAGAATGTTCTGTTGTCTAGCAAATATGTACTCTTTAAACATATCACTTTGTTTTTGTCTTTTTTTGTAGACGTTTTTATCTAACTAAATAGTTGATTTAATCCACTTTTCGCCTATCATTTTAATTCACACATCATACTGATCCACAGTGCTGATAGATTGTACGTATGTGACCACTTCATTTGGTTTTCCTTCATTAGTAGTCAGTTATGAATCTTCTTTAGATCGTCACTATCAGTTTGTTTAAATGTAAAACTCATGTGAGTTTCGATTAAAGAGACTTCTAATATAGACTACGTTTTTATTGTTTCTCATAAAACTTTTGAATTGAAAATTGATGACCCAGTAATAAATGTCCTCACTCCACCTCAAACCTGTGGTGCAACATATGGTTTTTGTGGTTTACTTCAAAACAAAAATACATAAAAAATGTTTGACGAATAAAGATCATGTTGGAGAGTTTATCAATTTGATTGATCCCAATGAGTTTGGACCGAGTTTTCGATGGTGATACATTTAAAATAGCGTTTTGTTTGTTATGAAATAACTTCTTGTAGGTCAGTTTAACTGATGTCAATTTCCAGATACCATATTCACACTTCACATCACTGTCCTTGACTACCTAAAGTGTATGGCCTAGTGCATATAAACAAATATTTACTTACTGTAAAAATATACTAACAATTCAAATTCTCAAGACTGCATTATTTCCTTGTCTATGTTCAGGACTAAGTCATAATTAATTGACATATATTCATCTTCAGCAGATTCCTCGATACACCGTCTTTATTACAAATCACGGCACATTCGAATTGTGGTTAGCAATGAAACCCAAGATGTGTGTTTCGTCTGATTTGAAACTCGTCAATTTGATGTACAGTTGGCTGGAGTTTAAAGTAATAGACACTTGGTTCATGTGTCGGTGTTAATACTTATTTTTGGATGCAATTACATTTGGTTGGTGTGTCCCGAATAGAAAGAAACGAGCGTCCTGGATTTTACAATCCAAATATGCTAAGGTTTTTGAAAAAGTTAACATTTCATGTTTTTTTTCATGCAACTTATTAGATTGTAACGCCAGTTAATGTTACTATGGGGCTAAAAGCTTTCCGTCATATTCATCAAGAAGATCATCATAAACGAGACGTTAAGACCTACTATAATCCTGATGTTGTAAGTTTTTAAAAATTAGTTATTTTATAAATACATTCAACATATTTTAGTTTTTTCATTACTTTCTAATTCCATAAATTTTAAGTGGAATAAGATTGACAGAGAAGTGAAAATCTTTGAATTTCTTAATGCTTATCGGTTCTCCTTTTGTCAGTCGTTCAAACAACGAGAAACCTGAAAACTGGAGAGATTGAAGGGATATTATAACATACCTGGAAAAGATTATAAATAGATGATAAGCTAATGGATATAAATCTGCCGTCACGAAATCACCTCCACGAACTCAAATTTAAATAGTCCCACCATATACAGAAAGGATTACCTGAATTATCACAAAAAATTTGAAATTCGTCGAAATTTGTTATATTCAACAATTAACACAACCACGTTATGAAGTCATCACTGATGATGTCTAAAACGGCAATGTGTCTTAGTGATGAAAATTCATGTCAGAAAACGCAACATCAAAACGTTGAACTGGGCTGTTAATTGTTACTATCGTTTCAAAATTATAAGACCTTAGAAAAAAATAACTGTTGAATGCATGTATATATATATATATATATATATATATATATATATCACTTCGCTAAATTATATATACTATTTGTCCCATCATGAGATAACTCAATTTCATCCTACTTTCTTCACTTGAAGCTAGATATTATTTTTGTACTTACGTGAAAAAAATCTTAACATGTGAATGACACTTATCTCAGTAGTATTTTTCAGTTCAAATATAATAGATCAACCATTTAAATATATTGGCCATATCCTGCAATATTCGATCATGAAACATTAAATATAGATGTGAAACTATTTTTACACTGTATTCATTGATGCTAAATATTAGTTTTTTAATACTACACTAAATTTTTCATTTGAGAGACATTTCAAACATCTGTTCATCCTAATAATTTGCATTTATGATATTGAAAGGTAAATTATCCATTTCTTAGAATGGATTCTATTGTTTTACTGTTCAAATGTAGTTTGCTAGGAGTATAATAAATATTAATTAACGGTTGTTGATAATCTCGAACTAATATACATTAAACTGTTCACTGGTAATTTGTGTAACCTCTCTTAATCGTATAGGCTTATAAGTTCAAAAATCCCTTAATAAATGCTTAATTTTAATCATGTTCATTTTTGTGGTATGTATACAAGCATGTAAATGATTGTGTTAAAAGAAAATAATTCCAATATTTCATATTTTATTACTATTGAATGAAATTCATTGTTGTATAATTGGATTAGTCAATATATATATATATATATATATATATATATATATATATATATATATATATATATATATATATATGTATTTCTTTTTTTATTTAAGATGAACTTGATTCGCAATCCGATCGGAGGTTTGACTTCAGTAAATTATACTGTTATAAAAAGACGTCTAGTAACAATCAGCAGTATTCCAGCTATTATAATCAATGTTAAACTATATTGTGATTCAATGAATTGCAAATTGAAATCATGATACATTATTACAGACAAGTCGCCGTATAAATTTTCATATTCATTCAGATTTATATATTTAGTAGTATTTCTTTTCATATTATTAACTTCAAAAGAATTTGACTTGTAGTTATCCTAATGTAAATACTTTCATTTATTCATGACTGGATGGTTAACCATAGCTAATGTGTTGTTATTATCATTATTATTACTATGATTGTTGAGAGTTAATCAATGATAAGTATTCCCAAACCGGACTTTCTGGTAGAAATATGCTAAATTCTAAAGTCATTTTAATCTTATTGTAATCTATTAGTTCTGTAAATATAAGCACCATTTCTATATTTCTCTTCAGAAGTAAGCGTCTCACGGTTTTTATTTCATTCATTTTTTCGTTATCATCGGGCTACTGATTTGTTGAAATTCCATAAAATCTTTCATAGACCATCAAATACTGATATAACATCAAGATATATTTGATAATTCGTAATAATTGATCAAAAGTTGATATATCTACTCAGATAATCAAATAACTTTAAGGATTTCAGACTCAACAAGTTGGTTAATTACTTACAATATAAAAGCTTTGTGTCAGTAAAGTTTAAAAATGAAAACAAAGACGTACTTCCTACATTGCTAACCTTAACCGAACAAACTTGCCTCACATTTAACAATGTCTGATTTATCTCGCAATTTAATTTTCAAAGCAGTCACAAGTTATTTATTATTTGCCAGAAATTTTGTAGAACATCATGATGTGCTACCATCTTAGAAAAACTACTGATCACACATAACCAGAAAAATTTCAATTTGTTTTGGGGATTCTTCAATGTATTTTGATTTTTTGCCGTTCTGTTTTAATAAATCCTTAAAGCTTTTTACCACTTCGTCAATTCTGACTGATAATTTATCAAACAACAAATATAAATATGCACATATAGCAAGGTAATGGAAGCATTTATGCAATTGAAGATGTGGAATTCAAAACAACTATCAGCTAATATCAAAGTCATAATCTTCAATGCAAACGTCAAGAGAGCTCCACTGCACGGAGCTGAAACTTGGAGAACTACTATCACAAACATAAAAAATACAAGTTTTTATGGATAATTATCTGCGCAAGACATTCTAGACCCGTTGAGTGGATACTACAAGAAACAACCTACTGTGGCAGAGAATAAATCAGGTTCCAGCTGAAGAGGAAATTAGGAAAAGACGGAGGAGATTGATAGGTCACACCTTACGGAAATCATCAAATTGCATCACAAAGTGAGTCTTAATTTGGGGTCCTCAAAAAAAGGAGAAAAAACCAAAGAACACAATGCACCGGGAATTTTAGGTATATATTTTTTGAATGACCAACACTTGATGAGGACCGGAAAGGAAATCTCATGACAGAGATGGTTAGAGAATCCTTGTCGGAAATCTGTACTCGTCAAAGGGGTAACAGGACTAAACTAAACTAAACCAAACTATAGGTAAATATCTTAGGTCTTTTGTTTTACAAGTCTTCGTTCGTGTGTAGTTAAGACATATTAGTGTCTGAACAAAGTTCCAAATATTAGCACAAGTTTGTAATTTAGGTGCTACTGTGGTGTATGCTACTTATGTCAACATAATTAGTATGTGACGCCAATCAGAAGTGAAAGGCCTGACAACAGAAGATGGGAAAGAACGAATCGGATAGAACGGAAGCAGACAGTAATTGTTGTGGCAATGGAGGGACGATGAAGTTTGAGACAATCGATGAGGGATTTGCAAATGAGGTATTGGACGTATAGTTTCCTCATTTGAATAAAGAACTGTGTGATTTTGTACTAAAATGCAATTGGTTGTCCTCACCTGTGTTCTCATTCACAACACTTTCTGGAATTAGTAGGTCAATGAAAAATCCATAGGGTATGTGATGCAAAAGTGTTTGGGTTCGAGTTTCTGTGTTAACATCAATATTAGGAGGCAGGGATTTCCTACTCTTGAGTCGCAGATTAGATTAAACGAGGGTCCTGAATACCACTGTTAGGGATACACTAAATATAATAAATTTCAGATAATTAACAGTAATCTTCATATGACTCACGTAATGTTGTAGACTTGCGTTGGAACAAATTGGAAGTCGTGAAATATCAGCAATTTATCTTTCACTCATTGGGACATGATAAATATATTATTAGTCTTGTGATTGATATCTGTAAGTGTTCGTTATCAAAGTATAACAAATGTTTTATGTATTTTGATCACTTTCAATGATAGACACTTACAAAACAGTTTAGAAAACTGTCTTTTGGTATTTAGAAGTGTGTTCAGATCAAGCGAAATATTCAGCCTGCAGAAGGTGGGTTTATGTGTCATGAATCAAGACAATTGTTCCCCTACTATTCTAGAATTTATCATTTGTCAATTTGTTATATTATGCAAATATTGTACAAATTAGCACACTTAATTTCTGATCGATTTTAGTTGAGAAATGAAGTGAGATAGGCAATATAACATTGTAAACGGATAATTTCTTAAGTAAAAGCTGACATTTTAATATCAATTGTTGCTTCTTGTTAGCAATTTCTGAGTAACTCCTGTTCTGGTTTCTCATAGGAAAGATTATCAGAAATATCAAGTAAAGAGTTTTATACTGATAAGATGGTGTTAGAAAAGGAAGGATGCGAGAAAAGAACAACGAACAGAACAAAACAACAATAAATTTGCGACGAAAGTGTTATGCTATGTTAAATCAGTATATTAAACTTAAACTGAATTGTTTTCATTAGATAAATTGTTATTCAGGTCTCCGCAGATGATGTTAATTGGACAGGGTGGTGAAGTGTATTGAAGAAATATAGGATCGAACTAACGGAGAAAAGTCAAGAATATGGAGGCTGTTGAAAGTTATGTCAGTTTATAAATTGAAATAAAAAACAGGCGGTTTCGATACACAAATGAATCTTTGTTTTTAAGGTTTTATTATCTTTTTGCCATTTATCAACTCTTTAGAGTTAGCATAGGAGTCTGCGTTTGTCCGTAATAGGATTTCTAAGTAGATAGCAAAGTTGACTTAAGATTTTAAAAATGAGTTAGAGGAGAAAGCATATGAAAGCAGCATTGATTTTGTTGATTATGTCCCTCATTTTAGATCATAAGAACGAGTCTTGAACAAACAAAATGCTTCTCACACTGTATAGTAGTCAGTGCGCTAACTTAGCATGTGTTTTATAACTAACCTCATGTAAACTGTGGTATCTAATCAGCTAGTTCATATATCGTTATAAGTGTAATTGCCTTTTATTTTTTCCCATGTGTAGTTGCACGTATTTTAACTTCATATATCATAACCAGATCAAATACTTATGGTACTTATTATATACATGAAGACATGTGTGTTAGAAAATAAATCCTTGTAAAAAACGTTTCTAACAATTCGATATTGATTATGATCTTTATATTTTTAATACACATTACTAGTTCGTAGTCCCCGTTCACTATTGATCGATCGGTCATGAATCAGTGTGAAACGCTCATACTCCTCAAGATAACCAGTTCAGAAATCTGATTTCGTTATGTCGCCTTAAAGTTGAATACATTTTTCCATCCAGCCGTCACCATCTTCCTTGTTTGTCTTCTAGAGAAATCGTCGTTGCATAATTTATTTTCATATAATATGATAGAAGCGTACATAAATCTGTGAAGATTGTAATTACATTATGGTGACCTACTTTTGTCAACAGAACGCGATTGGTTCAATGAAAACTGTTATTATTATAACCAATTTTACCAGTGATTGTTTTACTGTGCTCGTTTGTTTAACTGTGCTAATGACAGGCATTACACACCACGCTACAACATAATGTGTATGATAGCAGAAGAAGAAACGGTTTAATCAGCTGTTTGCATTGACAAACGGGATTAAGACTGATGAATCAACAAATAAGAGGATGAAAATATGAGTAGTGCTGGGTCAAAGGCAGACGCATAGTCACTCATACTCAGTCAGATCTATAGTTCAAATCCCACGAGGTGTGGTATTTGTACTAGATGATTATTTCATTGCACTTGATTCTGCTCTTATAAGGAATTTCACATATAATACGTTCAGTTATGCTCATATAGTTCTGTCTTAAATTGAACTATTCGAGAAATTCTTAGTTGGCATATCAGTTTGTCATACGTGGTCAGTACTAAATGTTGGATATCCAATTATCTGCTCGTACCGGGAAATAATTTAATGTTATACTACTTTAAATAGGTGATCTTATGTTTAAATACGTACTTTAAAATTATGACTGAAAGTTTATCTCAAGTTGGTACTTTTTAACCTTATTTAACTTTATCAAAACCTGCTTATTCAACTTTCACAAATTCAGTGTAGCTGAATGAAAGTCCATTAGATTCATGGCTAGAGCAATACGATTCTTGTAACAATTTGAGGTCACATACATATATATTAGCTAGCTGTTGATGATTATTTTTACATTTGGTTTGTATAATATCTATTTTGAGTTGTTTGTTGATTCTTGTCCTTCATTAAGTGTTTACAACCTGTTCACTTTCAAGAGATTGTAGTGGTTTTCTAACAGTATTTTCTATTACACAGTGCTCCTCGACTAAACTAATCGACAAAAATTCATAAACAATGAACTGCAATTTTTGAACAATATAATTGCCATAAGATTAATAGCTACTAAAACAATGAAGAATCTACCTAGAATCGACGATCACCTACATTCAGGTCACTTTTACTTCCTTCCCATCACGTGAACATTTATTCAAACTCGACTCTCTTGCATTTAATATTATTCCCATCAGTGAACGCTTGATATCATCCTCACTAAGAGGTGCTATATCACCAAAGATGGGAATGCTAGATGTTCATCTAATAGGATTGCCACAAAAATTTGTCTAGCCACCATTACTCTGAACCATTCTTAACCATTAACTGTGGAATCTAACCATCTTAAAATAGTGTGACTCCTATGGAATATCCCGTCCCCTCCCACTTGTTTTTGTATAAGTAGGCAAAAGTCAAATTCCTTGACGCCACCTCTATTATTTTTGCCGGTTATTAAGGTAAGGACTATACTGCCTGATGTTATTTCAATAAACATTCGAGACTAATTGCTGAGGATCATATCGACTTGAAACATTTACTCATTTATTGTTACCGACTTAACGCAGACTTTGTAGTAAAATGTTTAACTGAAGTGCAAAATTTCTAAGAGTAATTTACTTTTAAAAACAAACGAGCATCATGCTTCATAACTTATTTATTTAGGATTTGATGTGTAGTAAAATATTATCCGATGACCATTCTAACAACCACAAGTGGAATGTCGGACAATGTGGGAGACTGGGGAGACCAATCAAATAAGTACGGAAATAGAGAGGTACAACATGGAAGTATTCGGAATAAGTGAAACCCATCAGACCCTAGCTCGACAGAAAAGGTTAGATTAGGTGGCGATGCTGTCGTTCTCCGACCACGAGTAACAAAATGCTCTGCACACACAGAGAGTTGCACTGATGCTGTCCAAAGCGACACGGAAAACACTTATAGAATGGGAATCTCATGAATTGAAAATCACTAAAGCATCATTCAAGACAAAGGAGGGAATCACAAGGAATGTTATCCGATGTTATGCACCCACCAATGACAGCAATGAAGATGATGAAGATCAGTCCTACTCGACGCTGCAATCGATCATAGCGAAGTGTCCTGGGAAGAACCTAACCATCCTGATGGGAGATCTAGACCCTGATGTCCGAATGAACTGTTGGGGTATTCAGAAAATACCCCAGAAATTATCTAACGCTATTCCTGAATGAGAAATAGTGTCATTTCCCCATTGGTCAACATTCTTCCAACGTGACATTTCCCTATTGGTCAATATTTATT